TGGGGGGACATTGGAGAGGGGGAGGTGTGGGAAAAGGTAGTGATGTAACAAGCACAGGGACAAGGGAACAACAAGTGATCTAAATCGGTGATGAGGAGGGTGTAGGAGACCCGGTAGGGGGTGACTAAGGGCAATGTAACTGAGAGGAATTGCTGAAACCCAAATGAAGGCTGAACATGATAGTGGGACAGGAAGAAAGTAAAAGGAAATAGAGGAAAGAGCTAGGAGGTAAGGGCATTTATAGAGGTCTAAATACAGGCATGTACATATGTACATGTATTTAAATATGAGGATGTGGAAATAGATCTATGTGCATATATGTACACATTTAGAATTAAGGTAGCAGATGGACATTGGGCCTCCACTCAAGTACTCCCTAAATGAAAGAACAGTTTGTTCTATTAAACTGGCATTCCATGATGCTCACCTTCCCAACACAATTGCTGAAGACAAAGCGGGTACATATACAAATGTGGTGAAGAAAGCTGATGGTACCCGGCTATCAAAAGATATATCATCTGGGGTCTTAAAGGCTTGAAGGTAAACAAGCGGCCATCTAGCTCAGAAGCAATAAAGCCCACATGGAAGAAGCACACCAGCCTGTGTGACCACGAGGTGTCGAAGAGATGAGGTACCAGGCATCATCAGAACAAAAAATCATATCATTGTGAATGAAGGGAAGTGTGGAGTGGAGACCCAAAGCCCATCTGTAGGCAATTGGACATCCCCTTAAGGAAGGGTCGCAGCCTTAAGGAGGACACAAGCCAGTCAGTGTGCAGGGTAGCAATGATGAAACATACAACTTTCCTCTAGTTCCTAAATGCTTCCTGGCTCCCCACCCCCTTCATGATCTCAATTCTACCCTACAAATCTGGCTAGGCCAGAGGAGGTTGGAAACTGGTGCAGATAGGAACTGGAAACACAGGGAATCCAGGGCAGATGATCCCTTCAGGACCAGTGGTGAGAGTGACGACACTGGGAGGGTAGAGGAAGGGTTGGGTGGAAAGGGGGAACCAATTACAAGGATTTACCTATAACCTCCTCCCTGGGGGATGGACAACAGAAAAGTGGGTGAGGGGAGATGTCGGACAGTGTAACCTATGACAAAATAATAATTTATAAATTATCAAGGGTTCATGAGGGAGGGGGGAGAGGGATGGGAGGGGAGAAAATGAGGAGCTGATGCCAGGGGCTTAGGTGGAGAGCAAATGTTTTGAGAATGATGAGAGCAATGAATGTACAAATGTGCTTTACACAATGATGTATGTATGGATTGTGATAAGAGTTGTATGAGCCCCTAATAAAATGATTTTTAAAAATTACTCTCAAAACTGTTACATAATTGGCTCAGATGGAGAAAGTGCTAATGGTATGGACTGAGTACAACAACAGGAAGAGCAAATTTTCTCTCAGCACATTGGACATTACTGCTATGGTGCAAAGCTTCTTTGAGATGCTCAAGGGAAAAGCAATACCAGACAATGATATAATGTTCTCACAAAGTCGAAATCAAATATCATCATATTTCACAGTATGAATTATGGTAGTGAAGGGAAGCATCATTGCATATATGAAATGAGGAAAAAATCTTATTTGAATACTATATTTGTCTATATAGAAAATGTAAGGGTAGCAATGCACACAGTATTAAACCAGAAAGTTGGTGAAATAAAATAACTATATTTTAAATAATCAATGTATCCCTACACAAGAGTAAAAGAAGTGACTAATAAAATATTCTGAAATTCAAAAGTTTTTAATAAATATTGTCAAAATAAACAATATTAAAAGATAAGGAATCATGTATGAATATGGTTAAAGTCTGGCATGTGTAAGGAATTTACATAAAACAATATGAAAAGCAACTTAGAACAGAATTAAGAGCAAAATATGTAAGTAAGCATTTTCTAGAAAGATAATTAAAATGGCAAATTTATAAAAGATAGCAAGTAATAGGAACTCAGTGATATATTTCTAAAATGTCCCATCATATTGGCGTATTATATGAGAGAAATAATATTAATGGTTCATGATAAATAACCAATTAGAAAATATAATTCATGTTTCGACTGCTACTGGGCAACTCAAGAGTATCAAAAGGAAGACATTTATACATCCCATGATCTACCAATTCCAACTTATTAGATACCTTGAAATGCACATGGTTACAAGGTAGCCTGTGCAGCACTATTTGGCAGAGATTGTAATATCAAATTGTATTCTGTATTCTCAAAGGAGCCATGCTGGTGCAATGGTTAAGCTTCCAACTGCCAGCAAAAAAATGGACAGTTCATTGTCTCTGAATGAGAACAGTCTGCTCGTCGACTCCTATAAATAAATGTATAGCCTAGCAAACCCTCCTGGGCAATCCTACTGTGTCAAATAGGGTTGCCACGGGTCAAAACCAACACGACAGGACGTACCATCACGGTACCAAAGAGTGTATCTCATTATTAACTTAGTTTACAATTCATGTATACGTACGTGTGTATCTCTGCATTTTTGGTTTTGTTCATTTCTGAATTTTCTTGAGATGTGTCCATCTTATTAAGATATTTCTTTCTTGCTTTATAAGCTCTCTTTAGTTAAAAAATGATAATGATACTTTCCCGATCACAAATTTTGAAAACAGCTTTTCTCACTGCATTGATTTTGTTTCTATGCCTCTGACACCTCTCGATAAAATATTTTGATCCAGGCCTCATTCCTCAGAGCCTCTGTGGGCCCCTGTTCATTAGATAATCAATCCCAGCTTTACTCCCTCTTGCCTACGGTTCCCTTCCCGGTCCCTGTGATTTCCTGGCCCTCGCAAATTTGGCTGCCAGTATATGAATGAAGTTTTACCAGCGCTGGCTCTGGTTCACAGAAGTGATTCTTGCCCACGGCCAAAACAGGAAGTGGAAATATATGAAAGAGAGCTGATAACCAGCATGGTTCAACTGCAAAATAACTGAGCCCTAAAATGCATGAAATGGAGAGAGGAAATGTATACCCAACTGGGGTCCCCCAACAGGAGCAGAGCGTCACTATGGATTATAGTCATCTTCTTCCCAGTCAGGTTTCCCGTGTTCCCTCAGCCTTACGACAGTCTGCCCTTACTGTCCGGTGTAGGAAAAGGATCCCGGAAAGTAAGTGTGTGTGTGTGTGTGTGTGTGTGTGTGTGTGTGTGTGTGTGTGTGTGTTTGAGGCCTAACTCAAATTTGTCTTTCAAGTCTGATGTTTTCTACTGGTCTTTCCTCTTTTCTTTCTTTTAATGGGACTGGTGTATCTCACTCACAAAACAACAGTTCGCTGCAGGCTGCATACGACTCACAGCGACCTCATGTGTGTCAGGAGGGAACCGTGCTTCATAGAGTTTTCAATGCTGATTTTTCAAATCACCTTTTCCAGATGGAATCCGATTGACCAGCTTTCTATGACTAGCTAACCTGTTTGTACCACCTCCATTTCATTCATCTCTAAATTGGCCTGCCTCTTCAGTATATATTCTTTCTATGATAGGCTTCTTTAGGCTCTTAGAAGTGGGGTTGATGTCTGATATCTCTAGGGACAACTTACCAAAGAGGCACATGAGCCACAGTATGTGGGACCCTCATTATTTTGAGTGGGATTGCAAAGATGTTTTATTTTATTTTAAAATCAAGGTAAGCATTTTAAAAAACCTTTGAACTTGAAAATGCAGTATAAATGCAGTTAACTTTAACCTAATGTAGTTGTAAAATATAATTTAAAATGCTTTTTTTTTTTTAGAGCATTGATTCTCAATCTTCCTTATGCCGTAACCCTTTAATACAGTTCCTCATGTTGTGGTAAACCCACCCCCACCAACCATAAAATTATTTTCATTGCGACTTCATAACTGTAATTTTCATACTCTTATGAATCGGGCAACCCCTGTGAAAAGGTCCTTTGACCCCCCAAAGGAGACTCGACCCGCAGCTTGTGAACTGCTGCAATAGAGGAAGGGACGCTGTGAAGATGAAAGCAACAAGGTGCCCTTGGAATGTCCTCTGGCTATCAGCTGGTGTTCTGCTCACATAGTTTCGGACACTTCGGTGAGATGACTGCCCTTAAAGGAGAGAAAACTTCCATTGTGACCTCTACAAGATTTGGGTACCCACAATCTCTCTTTCCACCCTTACTGTGTGGCTGTCACATGACCTTAGCCTCTAAATGGTCTTTCTGTTTGCTACTAAACTCCAGTTGTCCAGTTAACAGCTGTTAAAAACCAGTAACATTTCCTTCATTGAAGAACTTTTGGTAGAAAATATTCCCTTATCAAAGCATTAGGAAGAAAAGTAATAAACTTTCTATCTGTACTGTTTCCTTTCTTGCTATTAAGAGTGAAAGTGAGTACTATATTTAATGGAGATCTCTTTTTAGTATCTATGAAAATCAAATGCATGCTCTTTCCGACTTGGAGATTTCATTGCTAGTAATTTGTCTGTTAGGCAAGTCCATGTGTCCTGGGATTTGTGTATAAAGATGCTGTTTGCTGCATTGTTTGCCAGAGCATACCATAAAAAGCTTATTGTTTATTAAGTAAAGTGATTAAATATGTTATAAGGCAATATAACTTATTTAACAAAACAAGAAAATCATCAAATTAGAGTTCATCTAATTATATGAGAGAAATTCAAGAAATATTGCTAAGTGACCCAACATATCAGGCAAAGAGTGGCATATATTATATGACATATCAGGTAAAAAAAGAGTATGAACACACTCATATGTTTATGGTATATATTTACATATTTTATATATAGTATATATACAATCTATAATATTACCCATATCTATTGTGCATATATATCATCTCTATATGTAATTTCAGATGGAGTACATAGCACATTCATAAGGGCTAATAACCTCTGGAGAAGTGGCAAAATAAAGAGACTTTGGTATTTAATTTTATAATTGTCTTTATGGTTTGGATGTGTAAAATGGCCCTTGATAGTTTCATAACAAAAAGAAAAATAGAGAGTTAAGTAAACTTCTACCTGTATGGGAAAACAAGGGTTTTGGTTTACACACGTCAGCTGGCAATCAATTCCTCCCCAGAATGCAGCTTTACTGGTGCTTTGAGGTGTGAATGCAATGTCATGATCAATATATTGTCCCCACACCATCAGGAGATCAGAATATTGGCCATCTTCTGTAACAGCCTCATTTGAAACTTGAATAATTTGTCTTGTCACTTCCCGAACCTGGGGAAGAGAAAATCAGTTTGTCATGATACAGGAAAGCCACATTGTAGGCAGAAAAATGACACTGTGAGATAATAAATTTTATGGTATGAATCATGTTCACAGAATTCACAGAAAACCCCTATCAGCTCTTCTCTTTGCAATTATAGTAGAGCAATGATGAACTTGGAAGATAGACATTTTGGGTTTCAATCACGGCTATCATGTCATTTGTTTGTAATATTTAAATTTCATTTCTATGAGCCTTAGTTTAAAGAATTCTGGTGGTGCAGTGAGTTAAGCTTTAAGCTGCTAACTGCAAGGCCAGCAGTCTGAATGCACTAGCCGCTCCGTGGGATAAAGGTAAGGCTGTCTTCTGCCAAGATTTACAGTCTCAGAATCCCTGTGGAATATTTTTACTGTCTCTTAGGTCACTATGAGTCAGCATCATCCAGTTGGCAGCAGGTTTTTAGGCAAGTTTTTATTAGCTAAATAAGTGTAAAAGTGCTGATTTTTCAAGGTTGGTGTCAGAACTAAATAAAGTCCATAATAAAATAGCTTCCCACTGTTATGATACAATACATGAAGCATGGAGCCATAAGTCCAAAGGCCAGAGCCGTGAGCCATCGAGAAGTTCTCCTAGGTCCTGGAATCTATCAGCATTTGCTCAGATGGATTTCAAAATCGGTTGTAGTCAGAGACTCCTTTCACCCTTCTTTTATTGTTTTTTTCGTTTTGGACTCTGATGTCTACACTTCTAACCTATTATCCTATAACTATCCAATCACTATCTCTGTCCTAAGACCCCATAGGACAGAATGTAACTTAAGGTTTCTGAGGCGGTGAATCTTTATGGGAAGAGACAGCCTCATCTTTCTCCCATAGAGTGGCTTATGGAGATGATGAACTGACCTGGAGGTCAGCGGCTTAATTAATAACCCGCGCCGGCACCAGGGTCATGGGTCAGAACGGACTCCATGGCAGTTGGTTTTATTTTATTCACCCTTCTGCTTGGGGTGCAGATGACTTGCTTCCGCTATCAGGTCTAGGTGGGAAGAATTTTGCCCCAGAATTGATTATACCCAGAATCTCCCCAGTAATTAAAAAAAATCAAAAATGATGAGATTTAAGGATTCAGACTTGATGAGATTTCATACTTAAGATGTTGTTTGTTGTTCGGGGCCATCAAGTCAGTTCTGGGTCATAGCGACCCTGTGGACAAATGACAAAACACGGCCCAGTCCTGCGCCGTCCTCATCCTCACAACTGTTCTCATGTCTGAGCCTATGGATGCAGCCACTGTGTCAATCCATCTCGTTCAAGGTCTTCCTCTTTTCCACTTTCCCGCTACTTTCCCAGGCATGGGATTCTTCTCCAGGGACAGGCCCCCCTTGACAATGTGTCCAAAATACAGGAGATGATGCCTCATGATCCTTGTCTCTAGAGAGAATTTTGGCGTTCTTTCTCCAAGACAGATTTGTTTGTGCTTTGGGCGGTCCACGGTACTTTCAATATTCCTCATCAGCACCTTAAGTCCAATGCAGTCATTCTTCTTCCACTGTCCTTATTCAATGTCCAACTTCTCACATGCACATGAGGTCATTTAGAATACCATAGCTAATAAGTTTGCCTTTCAACACTTTGAGGTCTTGTATGGCCGATGTACCCAATATGTCCTTTGGTCTCTTGATTGCTGCTTCTATGGGGCTTGGTTATGGATCCAAGCAAGATGAAATCCTTTACAACTTCAATCATTTCTCCACTTATCATTATGTTTCTTACTGGCCTAGTTGTAAGGATGTCGGTCTTCTTTACATTGAGTTGTAATCCATATTGCAGACTGCCATCCTTGATCTTCATCAGCAAGAACTTCAAGTTCTCCTCACTTTCAGCAAGCAAGGTTGCGTCATCTGAAGGTCAGTGGTTGTTAATAAGCCTTCCTCCAATCCTGATGCCACATTCTTCATCATATAATCCAGCTTCCCCGATAGTATGACAATATAGTCATTTCAGACTTGTTGGGAGCTTTGCATGTGGGACATGCTCGTTTTTGAGAACCAGAATATGGTAACACAGTCTGCTTTCCAGTTCTCAAAATAGTCAAATCTGTCCTAAATTAAAAATGTATTCATCCCATCCAAAGGTCCCCAAGTCTGAAATGATTATATCAGCAACCAAAAGTCCAAAACCTCATGTGTCCACCTTTAAATCCTTTTAAATTGTAAATGCTTCACTTTCATGGAAATAGTACGTAATATATGCGATTAAGGAGCCCTGGTGGTGTAGTAGTTACGCGTTATCTGTGACTTCCATGTTCCAGTTTTGAAACCACCGGTCACTCCACAGGAGGACACAGGGCTTTCTATTCCCGTAAACAGCTAAAGTCTTGGAAACCAGTTAACTCCGAGAATCTCTTCTTATTTGCCTATTAAACACAGTCTCTCATAAAACACCACAGGCATTTCACTGTCCAGTGTCCAACACAAAATATGTAAGGTCATTGCCCCAATTTAGAGATAATCCAAGTGCGACTAAGAGATGTTAAGTGATTTGTAGAAAATTAAAAGTGGAAGTTAAACCAGATAAATTTGGTCTTTTACTTTCAAGAGCAAAAGACCTTACTCCATGTCCACTAATCATTGCTCCTCTCTCCAGTTCAGTGACTTGCATCTGAAGATTTCAGTCGCTAAATTCCACTCAGAGCAAACCATCCCTCATAGGATCGAATGAATCTATGTAAAGCGCTGACACCGTATTCACGTCTCCTCACTAGTTTGTTCCAGACTCTAAGAACACACTGGACTCTCATGAATGTTTCTGTTGGTTGTTTTTAATTCTACCCACAGCATTTATCAAAAGGACAGTTACTAACAGAACAACACTGCTAAATCCGGTACCATCTTAATGATCATTGGTGTTCATATTAAATAGCCATCGAAAGAAATTTCTTCTGTCCTGGTTAACTATGAATATGTTTATCAAACAAATTATTCTCTGGAAGCAAAGGCTCGATCATTATCTTTATTTAAAGCAATCAATTAATTAATTGATAGGTATCTTTGAATGTGCTTAGTCTTGGACTTAACAAATAAATATATATTTTAAAAGTCGAAGTGATTGAAAAGAGAGTTAGATGAATCTTAATTTAAATTTGCATTGTTCCTCTCCCTAGTTGAGTGACTTCAATCTTCAGGATTTTCAGTTGCTAAGCTGCAATTACGGGAAATGATACTATCTCATAGGCATGTTGAGAAAAATCAAAGGAAATTATTCATGGCACCTGACTGGCATACTGAGCAAATTTAAAGGTTAGTTTCCTGCTTGCTACCTTTAAGGAAAACTATTTTTAATCATATTTACTTAGGATCCTAAGGTACAAACCAGGGGTAGAGGGAACCCATTGTATAAGAAGTTGCGATTCCAGCCCCTCGGCTGGCTGAGAGCATCTTCATAGACTGGAGGGAGCCATCTCGCGAGCGCTGTGTTGGCGGCTCCCCATCGAGGGTGGTCTCTGTAGGAAACAAACGTGTGCAAAGTTTGAGTTGGTGAAGAAAGGAAATGATACATTACGTCTCAACTTGAACTTGAGACTGCACATCATTCTCAAGGAACATAAACGAGGATGGCTCCTGATGACTTTGCTTTGAAGAAATGGTCTTTTAACTCTGGTACATAGTCGGGGCAGCACAAAAGACTTTCTTAAGAGTATACAGCATGGATAATTACAAGGGGATTCATTTTCAAAGCCTCACCTTCCATATACGCTCTTTCTCAGCTTGACAATAAACTTGTTTTCCAGGTGTCTTGCCAGTTGAAATCTCTTTTATGCCTTCACCTTTCTAATAGCCATTCCTCTACTTATTTATTTTTTTGGAAAAACATATCTCTCACTCTAATAGAATATAAAATGGTACACTGTCCTGGAGGATAAAAACCTGTGGGGTTCTAAACAAAGGGTTTAAAAAATATTGTTATATCTAAGCATCTACTAATCAAGGCACCATAAATCCACCTTAGGGCTTCATGCATTTTTCTGTCATATTTATTTTATGTTAAGGATGCACTGTCTGTTAAAAACAGGGTACTTGGGTGCTTGCTGTAACATTCTAAATCCAGAAGTGAGATGGTTGTCAAGGGAACACTTATTAATATATTTATTTGGATTTAAAATGAATTGAGACTTTTTTATGAGAAAAAGTAAGTCATATTTAATTTGATTGATTGGACAAGGAGGACGGACAATGCCAAATTAGGTTAAGTGGTAACAAATTCTGTAAATAGAATAAGTTTTAGTGTCTTGTGTCAAAATATATTTAGTGTACGGTATGACAGAGATGTGTTTAATATTTTTGTTTGTTTTGGGTTGGTTTTTTTTACCAACTATTTCTAATTATATTGTGTCGAATAAGGTATGTCTAGGTAAAAGTGGGGCAGGCTTACTTGATAGTAATTTGATGTGTCTGGGTAGAGATTGGGGGACTAGTTCCAGAAACGGAGTAAATGAAAAAGCAATGGTGGAGAGGGAATTCTTTTGCAAATCACAAGCTTTTCAGTATTGGTTTTAAAAAATTAACAGAACCCAATGGAGTTGTTGCTGATAGTTCAATTAAAGTCATTTTAAAGATAGTTCATAATATGCTCATTTTCTCTACATCATAGGAGCAACTTTGGGAACTGGGTTATATTAGTAGAATAAAACGTATTCCCTTCCCAGCTATATATTTTGTAAAAAGAAAAAAGTTTTAAGTACATACATCTATAAATGTGGGGCGAGGGGGGGGGAACAAGGAAAAGTTTACTCTGTATCCTTTTACAATAAGTAGGATACTAACATAGTTTATAATCCAAAGGGGAATTCTTTGGAGGAGACAAGAAAGTGCTACTAATAATTATGTTGAGATAATGTACCCAAATAGGGACTGTCTCAGGGAATATGGGATGTATGGTCACTTATTTAATAAGGAATAGCTACCTAATGAATGCTTGAGCTAAGGGAAATGCTCATATCCTTTTTGTTCATAAATTAATTTTTCCAAATTATCACTATCTTTAATATTTTACCAATATTTATAATATATCTGCTAATTTGATCAAATGAATCTAATAACAAGTATAATATCAACTCAAATTTGAGTAACATAATTAACAATTTTTCTAAAAATAAAATAAAATTGATATAATATACATTTTAAAATTAAAATTGAACTATAAACTAACAGAAAATAACTATGTTACATAAATTATATAAGATATTTTTAATTTAAATCATATAGATATAAGATTTATATAGAGTAAGACTAAACAGATATGTTAAAGGAGAAAATAAAATATTTTTAATCCTAAGATATTCTCTGCTTGGAAAAATATAGAAAATTAGAATGAGAGTAGAAGTTGAAAAGCAAAATAAAAATGAAATATTTTCTATTAGAGAAAAACTCAGAATTTTTAAATAGATTGCTTGGTACAACATTACATGTTACCATGGTAGTTTATAAGTTATTTTTCCAGTTTTAGATATAAAAATTTAAGACATTCTGCAGCTATTTAAATAAATATTAGGTATTGAGCTTAAAATGCTTATGTGGAATTCCTTCTTTTCCAGCACTCTTTTAGAGGCACTCTGTAAGATAGACGAGGGCTACATAGTCAAACAGATGACCCAAAGAAAGACAAGGGTGAAGTACAGCCAGATACCCCACAGTTGTGTCTAAATACAAATGCTCTCATCTAATGCTAGTTAGCCTTCCTGTATTTGTCATTTTCGGAGGCATATTTCATGCCAATAAACACTTCCATTTATCCTGTACATAATTTTTATTAATATGCACTGTACTAGTAGCTAGAAATACCATAATAAATAAAATAAAGTTTATTGTGAATGCCCAGATAGGGTGTACAGAGAATAATCAGACAAATGAGTAGATATTTTACATATTGTCAGCTCTGAAGAAAACCAATGTGAGATGATGGAATGAGGCGTTCTGTGAATTATTCTGCACGATAGAAGACTTGGAGATGTCTCTTCTAAGTGGGTGGTCAGTGAGTACAGGTCCAGGTAAGATTTGATATAAACAATGTGATGACCTGGAAGGAAGACAGCCTATTGAGGGGGAGCAGCAAGCGTCAAGGATTTGTAGAGGGAAAAACTTTTTCAAGGAACAGAAAGAGGCACTTTCATTTAAGTGGCTACTCTTCTAGATATTGAGCATCTGCTTGTGTTGCTGTTGTTAAGTGACCTCAAGCCAATTGTGACCCACAGTGACTTTAGGAACTGATTCCTGTGCCATCCTCACAATTGTTCTTACACCTGAGCCCATTGTTGCAGCCATTGTGTCAGTCCATCTCCCGGAGGGCCTTCCTGTCCTTTGCCAACCCTCCAATTTAACAAGCATGATGTCCTTCTCCGGAGGTCTCTCCTGATCACATGTCCAAAGTATGTAAGATGAAGTCTTGCCATGCTTGCCTCTAAGGCGCACACTGGCCATACTTCTTCCAAGACAGATTGGTTTGTCCTTGTAGCAGTCCATGGTACCTTCAATATTCTTCTCTAGCCCCATAATTCAAATGCATTAATAATTCTTTGGTCATCTTCATTCAATGTCCAACTTTCAAATGCAGATGAGGTAGTTCATGACCTTCATAATTTGATAGCTAGGCTGATTTTGATGCCTAGTGTGTCCTGTGGGGAAAATGTAGGGCTGGGAAAAAAAGGCTCAAAAAGCCAGACTAGCCTAGGCTGCACATTTCTTTGGATGTTGTTCTAAGTATTGTTTTCAAATTTGTGTATAATTCTATTCATCTACTCAACAAACAAGGCACCCTAGCGGTAGGGTGGGGTCATCATTGGGTTACTCACTGTGAAGTTGGTCGGTGAAGTGCACATGCTGCTCTGGGGGCGGGGTGGGGGC